TTCCGCGTTGTTTAGTGTCAGCTGTTCACTACTCTTCCTATTCTCACAATCATGCACTCAATTTTCGTGTTTAGCTCTGTTGTTCTTTTTTTTTCTCAACTCCTTTTACATTACGACTTTCAGATGCAAATTGATTGTGAAGAGTCATTGACAAGCTGGTTAGTTAAAGAGCTAGGACCAATGTATGTTCACCTACCTTTTGAGTTTGCTAATTAAGCTGTTTAGATGTGATGCCGAACCTTCTGCCTTAGCCAAATATGTTGTAGCGTTAGTGAGGAAACAGGGTAAAACTGACGAAGAGTTGAAATTTCACATAACTGAACAGTTGGAGGATTTCCTTCATGGACGTAAGCATATCATCGTATTCTATTCATCATGATCCTAATTTCTTAGACACTAAAAAGTTCAGCGATAAGTTATTTACTGTGCTTAAAAGCAAATCGTATATGGCGACGACGACAACAACGACAGCCAAGAGTATTGTTCAGGAGCCGAAACCCAAAGCTGAAATGTCTCCGGTGAAAGACAAAAAAGAAGAACCTGCTAAAGTTACTAAAGAAAAAGAAGAAATCAAAGTTTGTTCATGAATTCCATTTGTTCTACAACAGTCACATTGTAGCCTACTACCTCTAGCGGATCTGATCGTGATGAGAAACGGAGGAACGCTTCTGCTCCCAGAAGGGAAGAAAAGCGAGATCTTTCTAGTAATCGTTCAGAAAGGACAGAAAGGAGAAGGATAAGCCCCCCTGCTGTGGATGTTAAGGTTTGAAATTTCAGATTGTTATTTTCGTAACTCCTCGGTTCCAGAAAGACGCTCGAGAACGTGAACAACGCGAGTTCCAACGTAGAAAATCTAGATCACCAAGAAATCGTCGGGAAAGAAGACGATCTCCCGAATATAGTCGTAGTCGACATAATAGAAGAAGCAGGTACTGATAACAATTTAACTAGAAACTTATATTTATTGAAGATCTCGGTCCAATGAGAGACGGGAACGAAAGGATGAAAAAACTAAACGACGGTGTCGTGACTATCACGGTAAATCTAATTCCCATCAACCAATGATCATATCTATGTTGTAGAAGCGGGATTCTGTTCTCGTGCGGATAACTGTCAATTCTTCCACGGTCCCGATCCAGTAGTGCTGGACGACATAGCTATGGACAAATTTGTGAACAATAATCAAAAGGCCCCTGCTCCAAACTTTAGGTTGTTTCTGGTTCTCAATATGCTCTTACCAAAATTGTTTGCAGTGTTCCTCCTCCTGGCTATAATACCTTAAACCCTCCTCCTCCTGGGGTGGAAGGAAACTTTGTGTCCGCTCCTGTTGAAGGTTCGTCTCTACATCTCGCTCATTAGCGTAGTTATTTTGCAGGATATAATCCTGAGGCGCCAGGAATGGCTTGTCCAGCATATTCTTTCCCTCCTCCTCCCATTCCGATGCATATGAACTGGGGTGGTGCTCCATATCAAGTTCCTCCACAAGGCAATATGGTAATATTTTCATTAACTTTTACCATAAGCTGTTCTTTCATTAGATTCCTTATGATAACGCGGGTTTACCAATTGACTCTGGTACTGGTGGTCCAATCCGGAATACTGCCCGAGGTCGTGGTCGGGGCGGTAATGTTAATATGGGTACTCGGGTACCAAATCGTGGTGATAATAAAACTATACAGGTAATTCATCTTGGTTATGAAAACATATCAATCCTGTTATTCTTCAGGTCAAGAAAATTCCTCCCGAGCAAAATAATATTTCTAAATTGAACGAACACTTCGCCTCGTTCGGAACCATTGTCAATCTCCAGGTATCAAGCCTCCTCGGGTAGTTTGTTTTTAATGCTTCTCATTGAAGGTTCATTTTAACGGTGATCCTGAATCGGCTCTAATCACTTATAACAGTAGACAAGAAGCTGTAAATGCTATGAAATCTCCTACTCCTGTATTAAACAATCGGTTTATTAAATTGTTTTGGTATAACCCGGAAAATAACGAAAACACTCAGGTACTTATATTCTCCCTGTTTCTCCGTTTCTACATGTGTTCTCTTTGTTTAGTCAGGCTCACCATCAGCCCCTAATGGTGCTGGTCATCGATCGGACAAATCAGCTCCTCCCCCAGTAGTTAATCAACCCCCTCCTAAGGTGGCCACTGTGAGAGAAGCAAAGTTTGTTAACCCTGCTGTTCTGGAAAGCAGAAATGCACTCTCTGCATTGAAAGGTTCCTTGAAAGAACACAAGGTAGGGAAGAAGGCTTGCAAACTGATTACAATATAACTATCTTCAGGCCCGAAGGAATGTAGGACTTGATGTACAGAAGAAAACTTTAACATTCTTGGAAAAACTCGTTGATAAGCAAAGAATTGTGATATCAGCGGTGAGTTCATTTGTTGTTAGGCGGGCTTATAATCTGAATTTACAGCTGAGAGAGAACAAAGAGGTTGAGAAGAAAAAGAAGCTGAAAGATATTGCCCAGAGTCTTAGTGAGAAAATCACAGTTGCAAAAACTGATGTGAGTGTGTTATTTTGTTTTCATTGCTCATGATTATCTTTCAGCATGCTAAGCAAATGGAAGAAATCAAGAAGCTGTCCGAAATAATAACTGATATCGAGTCTCAGATCAAAGCTAGGTCTGCTGGTAATGAAGAGTCGAGAAACAGCGAGAGTCCTCCCTTGAAAGAGGAAGGTACTGTCACTGTTGTAACGACCAAAAACCTGCTGAAAGAAAACGCTGGTGAAGGTTCGTTCTTATCATTGAGGGACTGACATCACTTTTCCCTTTCAGCTGAAGATTGGAGTGCTCAAGACCCGTTGACCTTACTAGTGAAGGGTTTCGAGTCTGACCAGGATGCTACTGTCCAGGAGCAGTTATCGTTGTTTGGGGATATCATTGAGGTGAAAAACGAGCTTTCTTCCAATGGTAAGCCAGAGAAGTTCGTGACATACAAAGCAAGAGAAGATGCTGAAATGGTAAAACTTAACATGAAGCTGTGTAATCACTGTTTATGTTCAGGCACTGCTCACAGGGATCGTGTTGAATGAAGTTCCGCTGAGTATTACCCCCCAAGATGGTTTCCAAAACTTGAACACGAATAAGCTGCTTCAGGGTATTGACCAAAACGACGTGAGTTCCTAATTTCTTTTCTCACCGCATTGAGTCTCGAAACGGAGAAGTCGGAAAAAGAAAACAAAAGATATTTCAGTCCGATGATGATTGATCTCAAAGGGCTTGGATTGCAATGCATGTGATGCCTTTAGGACGACATTTCCATAGAAGAAGTGTCTTCGCAGTTTTTGAATTCTGTTTTCATTGTTCTGGTGTATGTTGAGTTGTTTTCATATTTTCTATTTAAATGTGTATGTTAAGTTATGAAAAGAGAGATGAGTTCACCAAACGTAATAAATAGATAATACTCATAGTCCACTACGAAGTATCCTATTGAAAGTGCCACAACTAAAAAAGATAAAAAGATAAACTGAACTACTCGTGGTGATGAAAAGAAAAAAACGAAAAAGATGGCAAAAAGAAGAAAAAATCGTTGATTTGCTTGTTGTTCTTTGTTCAAATTGTTTTCTTTCTCTCAACTTCTTCGCTTTTCAGGTCCATCTCAGCTTTTCAGATTTCACGGGTTTTCTTCCTTTATTAACGGGTTACACAAATAAACTTTCATTTCAAGACAAATACTTTATTATAACCATGAAAGTCATACAAACATCTGAATATATCAAATACGATTACATAGAGGCACACAAACATAAGAGCTTTTGGCACAAAGTTATTCGAACGTGTTAAGTATGAATGTGAGCTGGTAGTTGGTGTCTGTGTGTGTGTTAGTTCAGCTTCACCTCCATTCTATTATGTAGAACCCATGACTGTTTGCAGAAGATCGAAGAACCTAGAACGATCTGATGATCGCAATTGTATGACTGAAAATATAATTTATATGCAAGGAACGACGACAGTCTTACTGTTTTCATCAAAATGATCGAGTTTCAAGGCTTCTTGCATTCCATTCTTTCTGCTGACTTCTTTGAAGACTCTTCCGATTAAGCTGAGAAGATGGATATCGAAAGAGTGGAATTATTCCTCTTACCATTTGTTGATACTATCTTCGTAGACAGTATCCAGCGGCATGATGCCTGATACTAAATGATAGCCTCTTCTCTCACCCGTTAAGGGGAAGGAAACGATCAAAGGCTTTCGACCCCGTCCTCGTCCTGATACTGCGAAAGCTTTCAAGAGAAAATGACAGAAGTTATACAGGAAATGTCGCGATTCCAAGAGATCACTGTCTGAAAGGATTCCAAGTTTCAATTGAGAAGAAGAATTCCTCACCTAATTCTCGCGATGAAGAGAACAAGTAGAAAGGACCAGTAGGAAGAATCTCCGATTGGTTGACTGCATTGGATACCATTGTCCACACAACTTCCAAAGAACCCTAGAATGAAGATGATAAACCTTAAGACACATCTGACACCACCTTATAAGAGTCGAATGCTTTTCTCATGGACAGGAAATCTCCACTTGGCTCGAGGAAAGGTAGAAGAATTTCCTTAGCGTTTGTGAACCGTTCGGTCAACGAGAGAGCTGCAGGTGTTTCCAATCTTATAATACAATCTGTGAGTTAGTCAGACAAGTTCACTCACTTCACTGCTAGAGCTCTCGCTAGATCAGCAGAGGTGATTCTACTGCAGTATCCGAGATGAGCAATGAAAGAGGCAAACGTAGACTTCATGTCTTGTTCCAAGGTGTTGAACACTTCTTTCCTCCTTTCTGTTGTCATCGCTTCATACTTTTGCTTTGTTTCATTCAGTGTTAAACTAAATTGGGATAATCTAAGGATGTCGCCACTGATACAAGAACTACCCCAATCCGGCGAGTAGGTGTTTAACTTCAGCATCACCTCGTTGGGTCCAGTTCTTAGTTCTACACGCAAACAGTTCGTTGACCATCATTGCCTGATACAAGGACCAATGCGAATACATAGCCAGCGGAAGACTAAAAACGTTTCTAAGAGTATCAACAGCAGGGTTTACTCTTTCTCGAATGATATTCTAAGAACATCGTCAGCTTTCGGAGTATTCTTTGGGGAGAATCTGTATATGAAGGGCCTCATCCTATCTATACAAATCGAAGTGTACATTTCAGTGGATATCTGAATGATCAATCATGTAAAACAGAATATCAAACTCGAATCACCAATCTATCTGTCCATTGACTGTTCAAACCAACTGCAGCAACCCACATATGCTCCGAGCTCACTCGATTCAAAGCAGCAGCCAGCTCAAGCATTCTTACTGATGACTGTAACTCTATTTTGGAATAATCAAACTCTGACTTACCGCCATCGAATGCCAGGTTTTCTCGTAGTAGTTCCACATCAAGTTGTTTCGATTTCTCTCCCATTTTTTTCTCACTTCCTTAAGTCCAGAACTTCACAAGAACATCCGAGGAAACTAACCTGTTTTAAAATTTTCTTTTGTAATGTTTCAAAACGGTTTGGTCGGTTTTCATCGTTTTCATCAACTTCGTCGTCTGATTCATCATCAGAATCTGGAGGGTATATTTCTTCAGCAGTTGGGATGCTAAAGTAACATTAAGTGAAGATAACATTTATGAACTTACTTCAACGATGATTCTTCTTCCGCATCAAGAAGGACAACTACCTGTTCTTGATTATATACGTTCTCAAGGCAGATAGGTCTTCTGGAGTCAATCACATAAATCTAGGAGAAAGGATTTAAGCTTCAGAGTTATGTTACTCACCTTCTGATTCCGTGAAGTCTCTTCTTGATTCTTATGTAATAGGAAATCTAAATCCTGATTCACACCACAATTTAATAGAACAATAGAGGTTTCTTAAGAAAGCCAATGAGACTGATGTACGGGTGAATGAAAACCTTGGTCTGCATGCTCATCTATAGTCCTTTCCAATGCCTCCCAGCCGGATACAGTAGCAATGGAGAACGGGACATCATCACAAGCGAACAGCTTCTATAAGGATGAAGACACATCTTCAACCTTTCCAAATTCGCAATGAAACTCACGGTTAATATTGTAGCCGCGCAAAGTGCATCCACATCATTACCCACAATCAATAACACGTGCTGAAAACGGTAAAAGCAAATGAAAATATTCAAATTAATTAACATACCCCTCGTTTGACGACGTCATAGAACTGAAATCGAAGATTCTCACGATCTCGAATGAGCATCAGATGGTATAGTTTCTGCAATCAAGAGATTCAATCACTGTGCTAGCTATGAGATCTTCAAAAACCGACGTTTCGCGGTTGTTGATTAGGGCGCACTTTCATTCATTCAGCTTTCCATTCAACATTGCGAGTTTGCATTTCAACGATCGAACAATCGAAAAACACTTTGCATAG